ACCACCTCTGCTGGCCAGGATTTCTGGGAGTTGAAGTCCAAGAACATCTGGAGGCCCAAGGTTGAGGACCACTGCTCTAAAGGACATGTAGTGATGCACAGAATGAAAGAACCATGTTGCCAATACATGTTTTTAAAATTATTTCATATCTGAAGAAGAGGTAAAACCAGACATAGCCACAGAAATCCTTCATGATGTCACAGAGACGCCCAAAACACTCTATAAATGCAGTTTGCAGTTCTCTGAATGACAAAGAGAACGATATACCGGTATGTTAAGCATCTTTTTTCTCTGTCATCATAAGATCAATAAATACATGCTAACTCTTCCTCAAACACAACACTGAAGAAACCACCCCCCCCCCCATAATATCAGTGGCAGCAAAGACCAGAATACTCCCATGCAAATAGCATATACAATGAAATTGAGTGACTGGGCAGATATGAAACTAATGAAAACAACAGAATCTGGAATTTTAATAACACAAGCCCATGTACGCCTTCACAAAAAGTAAATATAGCTCAACTCAATAGGACTTGCTCTCAGGTAAGGGTATTATAGGACTGGAGCATAACTGCAGCCTAAAAACATAGGATTTTTCTTAAAATGCAATAGCATTTCTTAAAATGTAATTAATGAATTATTCATTTACATGTAGGAACAATAACCAAAGAAACACAAGATTCTAAAGTACAGTACTGCACTAGAAACAAAAGCAAACATCAATGCTTGTCCCCACTGTGAACATGTGTAGTTAGAAGGAGAAACTACTTTAGAAGAGTAAATTATGTGAAAAAGGAGCCCCTTTTCCTACTGAAGAGCCAAAGCATTTTATTGATTGCTTTCTACTTTCCCACTGCTGAAACTAAATGGTCCCCTATTTACTTTGATTTAAAAATGCATTATTGTCCGCTTTTTAATAAGCCAGAGAGTGGAACAAGAACTCAAATTATTCTCAGTTTATTTGTAAAAGACTTTAAAAAAAAAAAAAAACCAAACCCAATCTGAAGGCCTTAATCCTTAAAAGCCTTTTGGGGGAGGGAGTAAAATATGTTAGCAGATGCTGGCCTTGCAGCTGGGCCTGGACTGAAAGTGCACTTACATTTTTATGTTTAGAACTTGAAGGACTCTAAAGTTAGTGCTTGCGCTACAGAAAAATCAATGGCAGTGGTATTCTTTGGTACTTGTGCAATTCATTCTTTAAGAAAAAGGAAATGGAAAGAAAGATTTCATGTCCTGGACCCTCAGGCCTTTGATCATTTGATGAACACAGGATCCTCAACCTGGGCCTCAAACTTCTCAGGCCAGACAAAGGAGGGCTAGGCCTCACAGGCTGGGCCTCGATTCCTGCCAGAACAAAACCTTTGGCTGCCTCACAGTGTGACAGCCTGGGAAAGGCCCACCTCAGCAGGGCTGAGTGGCCCGCTCTGCCCTTTGATCTTTCCTTTAAACTGCCCAAAGCGCCAGGTCAGGGATTTTTAGATTGGACACCCCCAATGTCCAGAGGGGAGCAGGTCAAGAACAAAATGGGGTTGACCAATCTGGGGGGAAAGAAAAAAAACCCTGCAACTCTTTTCTTTTGACTAGTTTCACATGACTTGTCGGGCATTGTCCAACACTAAGCCCACACTTAAAATGGAATTTGACATTACATGGTACAATGGAGTCAATAAATGGTATTCTTTAGAGCTCTTGCAAACTAAGTCAATCCTTCTCTTAAGTGGTTGAAAGTGTGCAGTTAGAAAATGCTTTTTGTTTACTATTCCATTTAAGAAAATTGTATATATTTTCCGATCTTTCTTTCATTGCATCCTCTTGTTTGTTGTTGAAGACTGAAATGAGCTTAACAAATGTTTAATAGTAGTGGCACATCTGGTTCCCCCCTCCCACTTGCTCCTACACAGTAACTTTCTTTTTCTTTTTTTCTTTTCTTTTCTTTTTTTTTTTTGGACAGATGAAACTGCCACTTGAGATTCAAACATTCGAAGCAGCTAAAATGCCTTTTTCACAAATGTAAGAAAATCCTCAATGGACTGTTTTTTGTTTTTTTTTAATGTTTTGCAATACAGAATTTGGAAAAGACAAGCACACAATTGTTTTGTCATTAGTATGTTCCATACACAGTTTGTGAATCTCGGGGGAACAAAAATTACCCCTTATGGTTGTCGAGGACATGCTTCCAGAACCTAAAATGAAGATCGGCCTCAAATTCTCAAATAGAAGCTCATTGTACAATGGTTATAAGATGAAAACAGAGACAACCTCTACCTATAAACATCTGAGTAAATCTAAGAGCAGGAGTCAATGGTCCACAGCTTACTCATGACTGTAGTCAAGGGACCTTCCCCCCAGAATTTTGGGGAAAGGCATTCACACCACTTTAAGTGATCCTAAGATAAATTGGTGGACATTTTGTCTATTATAGTTTTTGCCACCACCACCCCATTTTCCAATAATAGTGTGACTAAAAGACTGCCTGCAAAAGCTGATCCAGTGAGATTTTTTGTTATAATGGTAAGAATGCTGTTGCTGGCAGAAGTGCATAAGCCTCTACATGGCTACAAAACCAGTTCTGAGACTAGGAAATGTGACAAATAACTGTCACATGAAAACAGGTCTATGGCCATTATGTAGAAACACCTTAAGAGAAAAAGACAAATATGATAACTGATAATATGATAAATGCTGTAAGCCGCCCAGAGACCTTCGGGTAGTGTGGGCAGCATATACGTTAAATAAATAAATAAGTAAATAAATAAATAAATAACTACAAAAAGGTTACTTAATGAAGAAACATGCTCTAAATACCAGCAATTCATTGAATACTAAAAACACGTAGAGGACTGGAGCTAGACCTAGCCATATTTGGGATCCTCTAAAACTATAACATGTAAATTACAGTAGAAATAGCACTAATTAACTTCAGTGGGCTTTAATCCAGTGCAGCATTAGTCATGCCTCATTGAACTACTGTTGCTTTCCATAGTTTAAGTCAAATTACTAGCCCCAGCTCAAGTGTACCCATTGAATCATTGCGATTTATTTACAAATTGACTTGCTATTCAGCAATTCAATACATCTGCTTTAGTTGGGACTAGTTATTAAATTTAGTAAACCAGATCTTGTATGTATAAATCTGGATCCAACTCAGAGACTGCCATGTAACTGTAGAAAAGGCATTGCTGGAACTGTTCAGTGCATAGATTCAATACAGATATTCTTGGCAAACTAAATTTTCACTAGCTCCATCTCCAGCTTTTTATCGTTTTCCCACTACCTGATTACAGGAACAAAGGAAGAATTAATCCAGGCTATGCCATCTTGATGATACATCCTGATACAATTCTACAGATTGCATAGTCAAAGAATCACAAGGCCATATCCTTATACTTCACTTTAATTAATTTAAAATAGCTAATACCTGAAGGATTCATACTGAAATAATTAAGTACAGCTCAGAGTTATCTGCACAAAAAAGTATGCTGAAGTTAATATAAATACTAGAGATGGGGACTTTGTATTCGTATATGAATATGAAGTCCTATGGCATAGGTTGGCCGGCTTGATGAACACCCACCCCCAGAACCTGCTGGATGACTTACTGCATGGTGCATAGCCAGCATCATCTTTTGCACCACTCTGGCAAGAGGGTGGGACAATGAGTCTCCCTGCTCAGCTGCAGAGTAGTCAGACGAGCAGAGAGCTGGGGGTGTGGCAACCAAGCAGAAGCTGACGCCAGTCACACACATTGTGCGGTAAGAGGTCTAGTTAGCACGTTCTCGGGGTAGGTGTTCATCAAGCCAGGCACCTGTGCCAGCTGGCTTCATATTTGTATACGAAGCCCCCATCTCTAATAAATACAAATTATTCTTGAACCACATTGGTTTTAGTCTGAAAAACGGTTGACTAGACCCTACTTGTATTTCATGATTTTTTCCCCTAACCCAAAGGTGGGCATCCTCTGTAGGTCTGAAGGGCAGATTGGCCCTTTCTTGGAACGTTGAAGGCTGGATGTGCTCCCACACGCTGCCCACTTAAAAATATTTTTTGAAAAAAGGCATTTTAAACCGGAAACGCCACCTCATGCCCTCTAGTAGCTGAGAACTTATTAAAAAAATTTAAAAAAACAAACAAAGGGGGCAAAACATGGTAATTACTAGTAGCTGCAATTCAAAGCTTAAATTTATGGCACTCACACTGGCTTAACCAACCAATGGGATTCTGGCCATCTCTCTCCTAAGCAGGCTTTTATCCAATATGAAACAGAAACCCAATATAGACAAATTAGGAATGTGAATCTTCCTTGCACAGATGTGATTGATAAGAAAATATCTGCTTGATTTATCTCTATCTACTTTCTGTTACAGAACCTGGCACAAAAGCAATGCCAGGTAAAAAGTAATAACCTTAGCACACTTCTCTTGTGAGTCTGACACTCCTTTGGCTTATTATGTATGTTTTACAGCTCCAATCATCATGCAAATTGCCACATAGTTTGAACAGCATGGAAATCCCTCACTTGAATAAATTATTCACATAGGAAGTGGGGAGTAGGGAAAACAGAATTTGGAGGAGAATGTGAAATATTCTGAAGCTGTTCATTTCAAATTTTTTTTGTCCAGCTTCAATGAAGAGAAGCATGAGCACACTGTCCACTAAATGCATTTGCTGCATAAACATCCTGAGAGGTGAGCATGTATAGACTGAGGAGGTAGGAAATATTTACTCTGCACTTCACAACCTTTTTGCCAACAGAAGATAAGTATATTGTGAAAGTACAAATGTGTGTATTACATCCATCTATACAGACCTTCAGGGTTTGTAATTTGGCTTCATTTTTAATCACTATGGACATTTTAAAAAAGCACTGGGAACATTCAAGCAAGGGTAAAATTTGCCTCTAATCTATTTGAAGCCCTTCTGTGCATATTGTGCCTCTGTTGCCATGACAACACTGCTTCGCCTCAGAACTCAAAAGCAACAGCCCTTTTGATGCTCACCTTTGGCCATTTTATTGAGTACCATGTCAATTAGAATGTAGGTTCCAGTTCTTCCCGCACCATCACTACAAACAGGGAGAAAAAACAACAACAATCAGTCCAGGGCACACAAGAAGGTGGCAATATCATCATCACCATCGTTGTTGTCGTCAACAACAAGAAAAGCGACTACTGTTGATGTGATGTGAAAAGCATAACATTGGGGAAAGATTAGGGTGAGGCGAAGCAGGCACAGGATGAAATATATGGGAAAGGAAAGACGTAATATGTACATGGAAGATCCTCGGTTGATTGGTTTGTGAATTGTACAATCTCTCCTTCCTCCCCCCCAAACACACCTTTGTTGTCTCTTAATATTTTAAAACTGTAATGAAGTGAGCAATTTTAGAAGTCCACAAACCGGTGAGCCAAACCTGATGGGTTAAAAGCTGAAGGAGATAACAGCAACTTGTGTACTTCTCTCCCTACCCCCTTCCTCCCCTCCTTCCCTCCTTGGTGTTGGAGCTTACAGGAACATTCATGGCTTTGCAAGCTGACCTTTCAATCACCTGCCTCTCCCTACATTGTGAAAAATCTTTTGTTATTTAAAGATCATATTATTTCCTTACCAAGTAATTGGGCACTAGCCACCAAAGCCTGGAAAAAAACAGAGATGTTGCTAACCTTTTCTACCCTCTTCTTATTTCACCTCAGTACAGAAACCGCTACAGTCTAAATAATAGGATTTTTTCATCTGCTCAGGGTATTATCTTTAATATAAATGAGAATTTTGGAAATTTGTGACTGAGCAGTATGAAGATGTCAACAATCCAACTGCAGCTAAAAAGAGCCAGCTTATAAATTAAGAATGGGATGTTTTTCACATCTGTTGCCAACATTAACAAGATTTGAAGTCACTTTTGTAATTTTATTTTGCCTAGAAATTATTGGTGGACTAGAGGGAGAAAGTAGACAACATTGTGATTTTGAAGACATTGCGATTTAAATATAATTTATGAGACTGAATTTTCCAGACACAAACGTAATGATGCTGGAGTATCACAGGGCAGTAAACGGTGCCAAAATATGAAGGAAAAAGAAATCTTGCTTTTTATGGCATATGGCACAGACATAATAATTTACATAAAAATTAGACATCAAATGCTTTCTTTCCAATTTTAGCAAATAAACTGTGCCACCAAGGACAATTCAAATATTAATTTTATTGGAACCTCAAAATCAGCATGATTCCTTAAGTTCACACAAATAAATGAGCATCAAAACTGTCTTAAAGTTTTCTGCTCATAAACAGCAACCCACTTGCTCTCCTTATCTGCAGAATTTTTTCACCTGAATTACCCAGCATTCCTTATCACAGTATTAAATAATGAAATTGCTAGACATTTACACCTAATAAGAACTTTGTATCAAGTCTTATTTTCTTCTACATCTTAAAGGCGTTGGAAAACTGAAAAGGGAGAACACCCCTTAGCTGTAGACCAAGGAAAGAAAGCCCAGATTTCCCCAATTCTGCTTCTCCTGAATTCATCCTTGAACAGAACAGAGTATGGTGTCCACACATGAATTACAATGTTGTTCCTTATGCTGTGAATAAAATGTCTGGAGGCTTTTAAAACATACATCAAATGTTCTGCAAGGCAGGTAGCACTGAATAAAGGCATATGTTCCTTTGCAGAAGCACAGATAGCTGGGACCCTGTATTTATTTATTATATATAACACACAGTTCTAGAAAAGCCTTAGAACGAATTTCTGGAATAACGTAAGCCTCAAATGAAAAACGTCAAGCAACAAAATATTTTCAGCAAGGAAACAGATATTTTTAAATTACAGAATACATTTCTTTCCATTTGTTAGCCACATATAATGTACATGTGTTTAATTAGAACAAGCATCTGATTTGTGCTACTGAGCAATTTACATATTCAATTCAGTCCATACTGTATGATTTGCTTAGCAGTCTCTCTAAGGATAGCTTTAAAATGGTACTTGCCTGCAATGAACAATTACTGGACAAGAACGCCCCCTGTAGCACTTGTTTACTTTTCTGTAATAAAACAAATGTAAACATTAATATACACACATATACTGTATAATTTTATCAGAGATTTATGAAATGCACAGAGGAGGCATCCAGAAATCAAAGAGTGAAAACAAAAATCAAACTCCATAAAAAGATGAGTGGATTTGTTTTAATAATTCAGCCAAGGCTATGATTTTCAAAACATGTCCACCAGTACAGGTTTAATAATTAGATATGGGTATAACCTGTCAAATACTGTTTCTATAAAATAAAAATAAAAGTGATTCATTGAAACCACAGCAGTTAGTGGATTCTGGTCATGTTTAAAATAGATTGTTTGGTAATGATAGAGTTCAAAGACATTCCTAGTTTTGATATCAAACAAACTACCTGTTTTAGCCTAACTGTGTTATTTAAACCCACACTCACAGTGGGTTCTATAATACATTATTTGTTTACATTTATTTATTTGCATGTTGGTTGATGTGTGCAGTCAAATCGGAACTGATTTACAGGAACCCTAATAGGGCTTTCACAATAAGTGAGATATTTAAGGAGTAGTTTCACCAGTTCCACTCCCCCCAGTGAGTTTCCATAACTGAGCGGGCATTTGAACCCTGGTCTCCAGGAGCCCTATTTATTTACATGATAGATCATGTAAACTTTCACCCTGGCACACAAGTTTCTTATCCTTTTGAGCTCTTAAATCAAACCACAGAAACATTGTTTTCATACATGGAGTAATATACACATTCCCTGAGAAAAACACTTCTAATTAATGTAAATTTTATATTGGATAGCATGCACACAGTGTGCATAATGTTCTTTTCTTGCCTCAGATGCAAATTAGTGTGAGCAGAAACCTTTTAAATAATACAACAAACTAAAATACCAACAGTAAACTGTTCAGTAGGAAAGGGGACATGAACAACATGTAGGAGCTATTAGACTGAGAAAGGGGAATCAGATGACTAGGACCTATTTCTATATGCCATTTCCCACAGTTAGCAAGACATGCAAGGAAGCCTGGCTTTGCAGATGTAAGTGGCCATAGCTACAGCTGGCTATATCTCTGTTCCTCAGTAGCTTTCATGCATGCTCAAGATGGCTTGAAAGAGTCGTTACATTATTTGAAAAACAGCTGTTTTAGAGTGAAGCTACAAACTACTGTTTTCCAGTCAGGTATCACTAAATAAATATGTTTTAAAAGTATAACAGTACTTGTATTATCCAACTAATTGTTGATGTTTCTGCCTTGATTTGTTGCTATTTATGCTACAAATAGGAGGACAAAGTAATTTTTGTCTCTTAGGTTAATATGTCAGTACAGTGGTACCTCGATTTACGAACTTAATCTGTATTGGAATTAAGTTTGTACATCGAAAAGTTCGTAAGTTGAGGCAAACTTTTCCATTGGAATGCATTGAAAACCATTTAATTCATATCTGCTGTTTTCCGTTCGTAGGTCGAGGCATTCGTTCCCATAGGAACTAATGCAAAGCCGGTTAATCCATACTCTACCACTAAGGGGGGGGGAATCACTAAGACACTTATATCGTTCTGCAGAAAATTGGGAAATTTATACACTTCCCCCCATCATAGTACATGGCCCTTAGTCAAAATTCTAAAAAAAATTAACTATTATATATTCAAAAGCTCTACAATGATTAGTGATAATCAACTGTCTATGTGGAAAGTGTAAACTTTAAATGGGAGATAGAAAACTCATCTAGAAATAAAACACAACAATGCATATAAACATATTTATTTAATGCATTTAGATAATCACCTTCACAAGTTGGCATAAAATAAAAGGAAATCTAATTTTCCTTAAATCCAAACAATGAATAGTGAACTTGGCTGTATTCTTTAAGTAATGACATCTGAGACCTTCTGTGCTGTAAAATGTATTAACAGATATCAAAAAAAGATATTAGCTTTGGTTTTGAAAGCAGACCCATTTCAGCATGGCATATAAACTGTAATTTAAATCCAAAGAACGGCAAACTTAGTTTCACTTTGAGCTTTTGTTTCTGAAACAATTTTTTTCTCATCCCACATGGCAACCTCAGGAGTTTTCTAGGAGTTCCTGACATTGCAATGAGATCTGCTGTTCAAAGGAGGTATCAGTGGATATGATCATGCCCCTTTGAGGAACCTGACATAGCTTCTGACTGCTACCATACCTATTTGTATTGTTGTTTTCACATGCTGTTTAAAGCCCAAGTTAGTACAGTGGTGCCCTGCATGACGACGATAATCCGTCCCATTGAAATCACTGTTTAGCGAAAACATCATCTAGCGAAAACCGTTTCCCCGCTGGAATGCATTGAAACCTGTTTAATGCGTTCCAATGGGGAAAAATCCTTGTTCTGCGAAGATCACCCATAGGGAAGCCATTTTGCGAAGCGCCGATCAGCTGTTAAAATGGCTGCTCTGCGAAGCATCTGTCCTGAAAACACCCAATTGTGAATTGCCGATTAGTGGCAAAATCATTGTCTTGCGAAAATCAGTTTGCGAAGCAGGGACCCAAACATCTTCCGGCAAAAATTGCCCATCGGAATCACTGTTTTGCAAATCGCTATAGTGATTGCAAAACCTCATCATCATGTGGATTCATCGTTTTGCCAGGTCGTCATCGAGCGAGGTTCCATTGTATTAACAAACTATTTCTGACAATGGTTCCCAACCATGATTGGAAGCTAACTACAGGGACATCACAGCTGCTGGTGTAGAGCTTAAACCAACTACAATTATCTCCTTAACTAACATTGGGGGAGGGGATTCTTTCATGCTAAGGTGAAAAGGAAGAAGTGGAATGGCTCACAAGCCCTGCAGAGCAGTCACATCTGCTAAATTACATTTGATGGCGGAGTGGTTCTGATAATGCTCATAGTGTTGGATTACACTGTAGCGAAGTAAACTGTTGGTTGAACTACTTTCTTAAAAATGGGGATCATTTGACACAAATTAAGGTCTGAAACAAAGATAACACGAGCAAGCTTTGCATTTTTCTACTGTCTAAAACAACTTAAATCTTTATCATTTTCTAAGGTTAATGTGTGAGCTATTGTTACTAAAGTTATCTACCACTGTCTTGGTCCTACAAACAAGACTATGGAAGAAAGACCTCCTATTTTAATCAGCAATCCATTAACAGCAGCTCTTATTAGCACAACAGAGAGCAAAAACCAATTTTCACCTCATGTGATATCACAAGTATATTGGTATTTGCTATTAATTACAGGAAGTGTGACTGAAAGATGCAAATCTCCAAACATAACTGAACACTACAACTAGTTTCTAGATTCTCAGTCCTCCAGGTGAGGTTATCTGGAAGCTGAATCACGGCAACTGGACTTCTTTCTTATTAGGTTGAAATGTTTCACTATTCATCCAAGTACTGTAGCTTCTTCAGTAGTTGTAGCAACCTTGCTGGTTTCATTATTTCAGTGCTCTGAGATGTGCATCTCTATTTTACATGTAGATTTACTTGTTTCCTGCTGTGAAGTGTTAACAAAACTGACTAAACAACTTTCTTTTTTAAAAGATATAGCTAGAGACGGCGCTTATTTCTTCTGTATTCCCCACATTTCTGTATAATCACTATGCAGGGCATCTGACGTCTAGATATTCGTACCAACAATTTTTTTTGTTAATTTTGTTTTACCTCTTTTTTTTATTGATACTTTTTCAAACCATCTTCACATAATTAAAAAAGCACAAAAACAATAATCTCAAACAAGCCTCACTGAAAAGTATTTTAGAATACAGAGGTGTACATAGCAAGGTCATTTCATTCGAAGTTTAATTCTTTCACACCAAATAAAATAATGTGCAAGTAACGCTTCTGAATGCCTAGTATTCAAATACATACGAACACACGTACACCACATGCACACAGAGGAAGAATTAGCTAGGAAAGAATGATTAGTAATACAAACCAACCCTTGGCTCATTGAGTGAAAAAGAAATCACCATGCAAACCATCAGCAAGCAAAGGTCAGAAGTTGTTAGAAGCTCAGAAAAGGGGTTTCCCATATTGTCCCTGCAGCAGAGTCACAGTTTCCAATGATCACTTTTGTGACTATGCAACTGGGCTTATATTACTAGCTGCAACATCACAAAAATGACACTGGCAACCGCTAATTAGCTGGCAAAATAAGAATCTGACCATTTTTAAAGTGAGCAGGGTTAGTAAATGCCATCGCACACAGCAAGCGGTGATCGCATAATATATATTTTAAGCAAAGCCCTCACATGTGATGCTAATTATCTTTTAGCTTAGCAGTGTTTCTTTAAAGTGTAAATGTGCTCCCTCTGGACTCAAAAAAATATTTAATTACATATTATCAGTGCATGACTAACAAGCTAGTCCAGAGTTAAAATGCTTGGTCTATTGTTCAAAATAATATTAGGACACTATATAACCATTAAAACTGACCAGAGTTTTGAGGAGGAGGAGCTTCATCTTTCAAACACTACATGTTACATGGATATTTTAAGCTTGCAGAGAGAAGAGAAATCTTCCTTTATTCATCAACAGATACATGAATACACAATATTTCTAATAGTAAAGAGCTTTAATCCCCTAGGTTTAATTCACCTTCTGAACACAATAACAGCGAAACACTGCCTAATGCTGAGGAACAAAAGACGTATAAGCACACTGTTTTCAGATTCTCACATAATCTGCTTTGGTAAGAATGAAAAACACAAAAATATCGCTCAACAGACTCTGGGGCAAAGTAATTTTGGGAATCCATTTTTTCTTGGTGATGGGTTATAGTAATAACTCACATAGTATACTCACACTCATATATATACATGCATAAATATGTATATATACACCTTTGTATGTAAACATGTTGGATGCCTATCAAACCATGGGAATCTAAAAAAGATGACAGACTTAGTATAGTGTTAAAAATTTGTAGTTGTCTTGATGTAGTTGTCTAGGGACTTGATGAACATTAAATATCAGGATTGAGGGTGGCTGAGTGTTTATTGGTTTCACTCAATATTAGTATACAGTATATTGTTTCAATGCTAACATTAGTGCAATCAAAATTAATACTGTCAGAAAACTAAAATTCTGTTAACATGGCTTTTGGTATGTGACAGGTTTGCTCTCACTCAGCAAATACAAGATATGTAGAATGGATCCTATTTTAAAACAGAAAAGCAAACCTCTACTATCTGCAGTTAGCTTTCAAATGAAAAGCCAACAAACGAAAATGAATGTATCTATCGGATGGAAAACATGGCCACAGAACTATTTTTGGATTGTGTATTTAATGTTTTCACTTAAATCCAACTGGATTTGTTAGACCTTTTTGAAAAAGAGTAATAAGACTGTTATCCACAGGTAATTTGATTATAAGATCATGTATGCAATGACACAAAGCACCTTGGTTCAGAACAGTCCCAGGTTCAAAGGTAAAGGCATAGAAAATACAAGATGTTTTTATACTTTCAGAGTAATTCCTGCACAGTTGCAAGACATTTTACTGAAGAAACTGTAAGATATACTCTGAAAGTGTGTTTATCCAACTGATGTCATTGTTATAGTCTTGTGACTATGGAAAAACCACATGATGTACCCTAGTGTCAGAAGTTCAATGTTACTTTAAGACAAAAGGAAACTATATAATATATCTGTTTCTGTATATCTGGGCCTTTGTCTTTGGGACTTTTCTCAGACCCAAAGTACAATGTGCCATTCCATTATCATGGTCTTATTAATTAAAAAAATTGCTGGAGAACAGCTTTATTACTGATCTTTACACGTTTCCTAGCAGCTTCTACCACTCTCTCCAATGTTGCGTTCTATCACCACTGCAGGTTTCTGTTCCCTCTGGAATTTCACTAACCAAAGACTCTGAATGAAAGCTTGTGGATTTCATCAAATAAACCAGAAACCTAGTGGGGATGGGACATTGCAGAAGCCATGACAGATAATGGGCAGTCACATGTTGTTTCTGTGCATGGTTATACACCAGGTTGTGTGACCAGCAGCTGTCAATTAGCCAGAGCAGCTTCAATGACTTCTCCTCAGCACAGGGTAACAAAGCCAGAGGATCCTGGCCAATGTGTCTGCAGCAAGAAGCAGTTTTCACCATATGCCAATGCTGGTGCTCTGAATATAAGCAATAGCTACAGCCAATTCAACTCAATACTGTGAGGAGACACATTCGGCAATGAATGGCAACACTGATGCTATCAGTAATGGTAATATAGCAAAAAGAAGGAAAGTCTATTGGATCCAGATTAGGCTGTACACACACTGGGCATTTTGTTTGTTTGTTTTGAGATAAATGTAAGATTAGTTAAGGTTTTAAGTCCCATGCATTTAAATGCACTGAACCAAGTGCAACTAACTTTATATCTCTGCAGAGGAAGCATGCTCAACAGAAATCATCATAGCACTAAGCCTTCTTTGAGGGATACAAGTCATTTAGAGCAGTTACTTTTTCTTACTCATCATTGCACATTTTGCTGAAGTGCTTTGAACAAATGTTTATGAAAAGCTAGTTTACAGCACACTCGTAAAAACATTTTTGTGATAATGGAACAACTTCACTATACCCAGAATTCCAGAAAATATGTGACTTTAGTGAACTTTGGTAGAGAGCAGTTTAGAATATCTGAAGAACAGTTCAAAGTGTGTGCAGGAGACTGTCTAGACTTGGACCAAACTCTGGAGTTTTGCAGCCTATCTGGACTGTTGAGACAAGAAGAGACACTAACTGACTGCCCAGCTGTAATTTATGTAAGCCTTGCTTTGTGTGATGTATCTTTAAAACTGGGCAGATTGTTGGTGTGGAAACACCGAAAAGAATAATAATAAAAAATCTAGCTCTTGGAAAAACCAAAGAGGTAACACACCTCTACCGCACTAACAGTTTTGTACCCACCTCACTGCAATCTGGAGGGCTGGAAATAAGAGGACGAGCTGGGCAGACTAGTATATACCGTGCCCCTGAGCCTTGTTCCTAATCAACAAGAAGTGCCTGTGAAGGGACAAGCAGGGCTTAGGGACATCTCACCCATTTCTAGATGTTTCCCTAAACAAGGGGTTCCTAATCCCCATCAGAGTAACACATGTCTTTTTGGTCTTCCACTTAATACTTCCTGCAATCTAAATATGCAGGGGCTATTAAGGAAGTCTGCGTGTGAGGACCCACACTGACGAGTGCCACAAAAGCAGGCCAAGGTGACACTGACTTGCCAAGCTGAATAGATATTATGATTTTTTTTCTAGAGAGAGACAAATGCAACAACTCCAGGTTTGCAGGCATGTGTATCACAATTACCATTCTAACTGTACATTAATAAAAAGAAGTACCTCTGCTTAGTGTGGATTAGAGATGGGGACATCTCTAATCACAGGTGGATATAACGATGGTCCAGCCCCATGGGGCTGGACGGTCCACTCACCGATCTGCCACGGGCATCGCAGAGCCTTCCAAGGGCTCTGGATATCGCATTTGGCGAGCCACTCTTTGACGTAACAGAGAGGCTTGTCATCCCACCTCCTGCCAGGAGTGGCGAGCCGAACACGATCTCCAGAGCCATCTCTAGCGTGGATTCCAAGTTAGGGCATTAACGGTACTACTAGAAATTCAGGATGTTGTTATTTATCTAGAAATAGAAAGCTCAATATTTCTGCTGTTACATCTCCCTGCAACTCTTTACAGCACCAGAACAATATTTAAACTGTTCAATGCTCTAGAGTTGCATTATTACATTGAGTTATTTCCTTTGTTATATTTTAGTGTATGAAACCCTGAGCAGGTAACCAAACAATAATTTGAGGGCTGGGGTTGGGTGGGAAGGAAAAAAATAAATCTGAGTCGTCCACACCGCTATGAAGTTGCAAGAATTTGTTATGGCTTCTGTGCTGCCAGAAGTACATCAGTCTATATTGAGAATTATTCTTCATTTTAGGGATTACTTTTAAATGATTAATGTTTGTGCTGTACCTGCGGAAATCCAGAAGGGATCTTGTGGACATGGGAACTTTCAGATCATGCCAGGTAAGGAAATGGAATTGTGTCACTGTCCGAGTTTCATTAGTTTGAAGGTTTTTCAAGTAGAAACTTCTCACAAGGAAATCTTCACACCAGATATGTTCTGAGACCAGATTTACCTATACCCAGATGAAAAACACAAACCTGAAGTAAGATATATAATACGAAATTATCAAATGTCATACGAATTGCATATATGTGTTAGAGAGATTACCTATTAAAATACTTTTCATGTCAAAAGGTGGTGGACTTGGATTGAAACATACTATTGATTAATCATATATCATGATGGGAGGACACTATTTAGAAATTAACCAAATATTTCCACAGCAGCTCAATAGTAGTATCACGTTCTAATGTCAACTACATTGTTTTTTATGATTTACTATGTATAATGAGTTACATAATGGACTGGAACAGATGCTAAACAGCAGGCATGAGATTGCCCCTTTGCTAGGGTAACATCCGTAGCATCATAATACCTTTGGAGATTAACTCAACAATGCTTGTTATTTTAAGATGAAAATATATAACAATATTGGTTGGAGTATTGGGTATTGGGTTTGCAAAGCTGGACTCTTCCTTTTACGGTTCACTGGTTGGCCTTTGGAAGACGATAAATAATATGAACATTCTGAATTATGTTACAGGAGAGCCTGTGCACAATTTTATGAATATGACCAATTAACCATTTTATAGAATACTCTGATTTATGCCAAACTGTACAGTTAAAGTCTTCAAGGGAAGACAAAAAATGCCTTGGTTGATAAGAGTTATGTGGCTCATGTGACCTTCTGTATAACTTTATTCCACCTCTTTTAACACAGATTTATTTCCTAACTCTAAACATGCTTATATATAAGATCCTAAATTTAATCCTAGATTCATGGAGAACCATTGGTGGTCAGTGGCCATGCTGACTGTGGGATCCAAAAAACCCAAACTCAGCTCTGGTTTCTCTCCCATATACACAGAAGATGCCTGGGTAGGCACGTATATCCAACAGCTAGGACTATGTTGTTGTAAATGTAAAGATGTGCCTAAACACAAGAGGCTTAGACTGTACAGTTTATGTAGGTTTGTGTGCTACCTGCAGCAGGAGCCAGCCAAAGTAAAACACAGCACACAATTTTATGTAGCAAGCAACTGCTGAATTTTAACCCACATCCTGATGCTTATAATATAAATAGCTGAATGAGTTATGAAAAGTCATGGTCAAAATAGATGTGTGAGAAACCATGCCACAATTTCTGTGAAGACATGTAAAATTAATAAGTATATAGCTATTTGTATCATGAGAATGGGTAGGGGTATTGAGGCTCCTTCTGAGCTATCTTTTAAAGGCTTACATTTTCACAGACCCAAACAAATTTAGGCACTGTATATATGCTCTTCTGTAGGGTTGGGTTGAGTGGGTTCAAGGTTTGGCAGCAAAACAAGATAAGTCTGGTGTGGGTTGTTGTGTTGTGGTCACATCCATGCCGTCTCTTCTTTACAGCATCCTGACTATATAAATTTATCCCATTATGTAAATGTATAAGTCTGAATTAGAAAAAAAGGAAAATAAAATAAGTTTAATTATAAAAACTCTATGTAGGGTTTTTATAAGCTGTAGAGCCCACAGCAGCTGTTAAAATATTTATGGACACAACATTTTCTCAATGTATAAATCTTAATTCCTTTCTTGTTTATATTTTAAAGTCTTGGGAGAAAAAATCATTCCAATTTGCAAACCTCTTTGGCAATTTATACATTTAGAATCTGCACAGAATTGCTGTTCTGCTAACCATGCTGTCAAGATATGCACAGAATTTTCAATGAGGCTGAAATGATTCAGGAACCACAAGATTGCATTTTATGGTAGACCTCAGCTCAGTTTGCAGGTCAAATCCCATTAAGCAATATTTTGCTCTGTATGAAATCAATCCACACACTTACTGTCAGGTTTACAAGCAGATATTTTGTTTAAGTACCTCATAGATATGGTAGAGGTTGGACCCTTCATCTGGCCAATAGTGGTAGCACTGCTTGACTCCATTTTCAGAAAGGGGTGTCAGCATGACAATAACGACACAGCCGTTTTCCCAGACCATCTGCAGACAAAGAAAGACACCGTGGCCACACTGTGACTGCCTAATTGCTGCATGACATGTATAATTACTGCACTCAGACACACAATCGAAATTTATTCCATTCAAAGGAAATGTATTTCATTTTCATTAGACACTTTTCTCTGCAGCTGCTTCCAAATCTCTGAATAAACTGGCATCGTATCTCCACAGAATTACTCCAAATACTTTTCAAATAGATTCTATGTCTTTCTTCAGAAGTATCTTCAGTCCCCTTTTCACTTTCATATTCCTCAGTTATTGAGGAATATGGGTAGTGCTTCCCACCCCATGTCTGTATTTGTTTGCTGTACTCAAACCAATATGGATGCATGTAATTAACAAGCTATCTGTAAAATCCAGGAGGCTGTCAAACAGAAATCCTGCTTGTATTTTTAGCCCAGATTCTATCTGCCCCTGTCATGTTAAAAGATAACCATTTGAGTTCTCTGATCAATGGGACTGCTTTAAAACCTCATTTAGATTAAAAAGCAAACAGAGATATTTATGCTTCATAATTCTCTTCCCACCTTTCACCTCAAACTCCCCACATCTAAACGATCCTACTAGATGTCAGTGGGTATAGCCATTGGCAAATAAACAACAGGCCCCAGGCTTTAGGGATTTATAAAAATAAAACAAGTGTCAAATCATATCCCAGTCTTGGATAGCATTTTCCCCAAAATACAAAACTACTGTAAATATACAAGGACAGGGAAACTTTGAATGTGGAACTGCTTAGCCATTCTAAGTTTTGCTAAACGTCATGCTCAAAAGCAAGCAAACAAAACAACAACAAAAACAAGCCAGAATCATATATCTAGCATAGCCTGTTAATGAACAAAAGCCCTCCACTGAATTAATATGGAGCTGCATAATTGCCAGAAGTCTTCATTATTATGGTGTACATTGATGCTATATTTGCATGCAATTTTCATTGTCTTTTTATTAGCATATAAAATTACTTCATGAAAAGGAAACTGATCTTTCTGCAAAGGGTTATGTTTGTTTCACAGAAATATTTACAAGCAACTGCATTGAGATGTAAATGGAGTCAACAAGAAAAAAGGGCATTGGGATAAGCAGCACAGAGATGTTAACATTCAATTAAAACTTTCCTTCTTTGTGGGACACAATTTTATTTTCATCCTAATTTCATTTGCTTCATTAACAGACAATGCATCTTTTATCACAGTCTTTTCATACAAATATATGTTAGCATATATTTTTCCTTTATTGGAAAAAGGAACCCTATAAATAAGAAAAATAAATAAATAGTACGGTATATTCAGCATGTTACCACAATCTCTTGAGACTGAAGGATGACTACTATGAGTATATAGGCAGAGACAAAGGAATTTATTATTATTTTTTTCTAATGTGTGGAAATAATTTCATGCATAATGACTTCTGGGTTTTTCCCCCTTTTGCTTAAATAAATCTCTGCTTGTACAGTGACCTTTTACACCCAAGAGTGTTTCCAGGTCCACTCATATCAGGGTGGAAAATTCTGCAACAAATTCTGAACAAAACAAAAATAATGTTTTGGATTTAAGGTAACATTTTTTAAAAAAAGTTTCCTTAAAGAGTTGCATTAATTGTAGCAGAAAGTTCCCAAAACTAAATAAATTAAATGATACTTCCAATGCTAGTAATTCATACACTTCACAGAATTCTAAACCAGGCTTCTTACTTTAAGATATTTGTGCTTAAAAAAACAAACGCCCTCAATAAATTGGCCACGCTAGCTGGTGCCTCTATCATATAACGATTTAATGTGCCTTTAGAAGGTATAGAAGCTCATTGAAGCTATTACCAAAATGAGGAGAAACACGTTTTTTATGAGTGCAATAAAAACACAATGATCTAGGTCATAAACTAATCATCTAGCAGTTGCTTGTGCCACCCAAGTGTGACATTATGAAAGCCCAGTCATTTAGAGAGAGGAAGAGGAATCCTCACAGTGTGGCAACCCTTTTCATTGGCTAACAACCCAGTAGCATTTTATTACAGACATACCGCCTCAAATCTCTAAGAATTTCTGACCCTAGGGGACCATATTTCTTTTACAAGTCATTTTATGAAGTGTGTGATTCTCAAACTTGCAATGCAATTGAAATCTAGCAATGGAAATCTAGGATGTTAAAGCCATATTCAACACTTTGGTGTCTAGTTTCCCCCATTTTTAAGAAGCATTATCTCCAACCCTTTTTTCTTGAGCTAGTTCTATGTAACTTTCTGCCTACATTTTTATACCTGATGAGCAACCTAGCCATTAAATTTCAGCAATATTTGGTTATTTATTATAATGTTTTATAGGGCATGTTACAGAAAAATTATAATCTCTTTTTGCTGCTTGAAACAACTTGTTTTGTGGTAAGGCAAGATTACCCTACCCTTTATAAGAAACAACATCCAGAAGAATTTCTTTCATGGTGGTCCAGGTATACAAGCCTCTAGAAATTAACCAGGATGTCATCACCACCACCACCACCATCATCATCATCATTTTAGAACTGCAGATGTGAAAGGGACCCTATGGATCATCAGCCCATCAAAGTGGTACAAATACTGATACCAGCAACATATCATGCATTATTAAATATTCTTTCCACAAACTCATACCTGTCGTGCTATTTCTAATGTCCAGAAGAAACTTTGGCCTCCTTCCAACTACTTCTGTGTTCTCTTTTTAAAATGAAACCACCTGCCTAACAATAGCTGAAAATTTTAGATGAATAATCTTGCTAATTTGTAATCTGTTGCAGGACGGCTATCCACAGACGATTCCTCACATAAATGGGAAAGCATAACATTTGAACAGATTGCAGCTTGAGATGGATAAACAAATATTCAAGGAACGTTTTATTAATTTGAATTAGTTCAAATTTTCAGAGCCCAAGGAACTGCGTCCGAGAGTACTGACAGAATTGGCTGAAGAACTCTCAGCGACACTGTCTATTATTTTCTTAAAATCATAAGAGGATGGGTGAAATATCAGATGACTGGAGGAGAGCTAATGTTTTCCCTGTCACTAAAAAGAAGGAACCCAGGAACTACAGATCAGTCCAAACACAGATTTTTAAAAAACATATCCTGCCAAATTAATCTTATTTAACAATACAGTAGTATTTTTCTATATAGTACCCTCCCAGGTAGACAGTAGGAATGCTGTAGATGTAATATATCTTGACATCAACAAAGCCTTTGACAAAATGCCACATGATATTCCGATAAGCAAGCTACATGTAGGCTGGATGGATACTATCATGTAGATACACAGTTGGTTACAGAATTGTACTCAGAGAGTGCTTATCAGAGGCTCCCTTTCGAACTGGGAGAAGGGGACAAGCTTGGTTACAAAAAGCTCAGTCCTGAGCCCAGTGCTCTTTAATATTTTGTTTAATGGCTTGGATGTTTAATGGCTTGGATGAGGAGATACAGGGAATGCTAATCAAATCTGAGGATGACACAAGATTGGGTGGAATTGCTATTCCCTGGAAGAAACAAAATTCAAAGTGAATTTGATAGGCTTAATGGCCAATTCTCACTGAAATATAAGACCTGTGGCCCCTTTAATTAGATTATAATAATGAAATAATTTATTGTTTTAAATCGGTTTGTCTTTTAATAATTTGTGAACCCCTTGGATTCTACAACTAGGAGAAAGGAAGCATAGAAATAAAAGTAGTAAATAAATAAATAATTAAAAAATTGCCTAGATGCTGTCCTGACAAGCTATCACAATCCTCCATAGCCTCCAGCCTAGAACTGAAGCCTTTCCCATCTGGTTCAGCATACTATTCCTTTGTAAAATCCATTCCTTCAATTTGTTCCTGTGTCCTCCATTTATTTATTTGATTTATGTATTGCTCCATTAGTGCACACACTACTTTGGGCAGTTTATGAGTCAAAACATACAATCCTAGAGATCCCACATGACAATATATACAACAACACGGCAATTAAAAAAAACATTAAAAAAGAAAAGAGAAAACAAGAAAATAAAAATAAAATATTAATATTAAAAGCATTCAGGCAGGTTTGAATAATTATGTTTTTTAAAGTTTCCGGAACACAATACGTATTGTAAAGTAGAAGCCCCATTTTACTTCAGTGGCGGTTGCTTACATGTATATTCTCCTAGGAATGCACTGATGTAGACTCGTGCACTCCCAGGAATGCATTTGTCATCTCAGTGCTAAGATTCAGTGCTAAGGCAATTAAAACAAATTACAGAGCCACCAAAGAAATAAAATATTTCGGTATGAAGATTTTTATCTTAGCGTTAACAGCAATGTTAGTGTTAGAAGAAGCTCCTTACAGAGGGATTTCTGTTGAGGGAACACTGCATCACACTCTCTCTCTTTTTTGGTTACCAGAGATTTCATCTCAGGTGGGAAAAACTACCAGATCTCACCCAGGAAAAACATCAGTAGATAAACTTAGCATCCAAGTAAAAGGTAAAGGTTCCCCTTGACAATTTTTGTCCAGTCATGTCCGACTCTAGGGGGCAGCGCTCATCCCGCTCTTCAAGCCATAGAGCCAGCGTTTGTCCGAAGACGATCTTTCCGTGGTCACATGGCCAGTGTGATTTAGACATGGAACGCTGTTTACCTTCCCACCGAGGTGGTCCCTATTTATCTACTCGCATTTGCATGCTTTCGAACCGCTAGGTTGGCGGGAGCTGGGACAAGCGACGGGTGCTCATTCCGTTGCGTGGAGTCGATCTTACGACTGCCGGATCTTCTGACCCTGCAGCACAGGCTTCTGTGGTTTAGCCCACAGCGCCACTACGTCCCAGCATCCAAGTAGGTTGATACAAGAGAGAATTTATTTAAACACTTCTACCCAGAGCCACTGATGACCTTGTAAGCAAATTCCAGAACTTTGAAAGAAACAAACAGCCAATTATAAATGAACAAACAAACAAACAGATAAACAAATAAAACTGGTAAGAAATGAGGGATGTCCCCACCAAGCTGACCCAGCTGAAATTCAACACGAGGAATCTTGTTGAAGACAATGCATTTTAATTGCTGGATGGAATGCAACAACTTCTGCTGGAGGTAATAATGAAAAAGCGTAAGCGTGCTCAGTTCAGAGTTACAGTATTGCCTTCCATGGGACGAAATATTAACAAAAGAGTTAGCCTGTAAAATAATTAATTTACATACCAGTAGCCTTCATAAATTCAGGGTGATAATTGGAACTCTCCCTCCAGTCTCAGTTTCATAGACTTTGATATGTAGACCAAGGCAGCCCAAGAAAACCCAAGAACATAGAAGAGCCATGTCTATCTTGTTTAATATCCTCTTGGGTTTTTTTAAAATTGCATTTCTATTAGGTTTCAGATTTCAACTGGACTATATTTAGCCAGTAGGCGAAAACAGTTATTCTTTGGCTCTCCAGATGTTTTGGACTTCTTTGGCTCTCCAGATGTTTTGGACTTCAACTCTAAAGGTAAAATCTTGTTGCCTTATAAGATCATATAAGGACAGATGTGCAAGCTATCTGTCCTGTTTTATAGGTCATCCATCTTGCTCCCCTGCATCCATTGGTTGAGCAGATGACTGTGGGCACAGATACATAAAAGATTTCAAGAAAAAGAGGGAAACTGTGCAGCTGTGTTTATGTATACAGTTTTGCTCAACAAAATTTTGGCACAAGTATGATTAATCATTGGCCATGCTGTCTGGGGCTTCTGGGAGTTAAGAGTCCTCAATATTTGGAGCCCAAAGCTTGAGAAAAACTGTGTTAAATCATATGTGCAAGTCACCTTGCCCAAGCACCCCTGCTATTAAAGATTTCAAAGAAATAAGGAGAATGCACTGATACATTACTAATAACTAACACAATGAATTAATTTTATAATACTTGCTAAAACAATATTTGCTAAAAATGATTTGCAAATTAATGCTAACATTAGGTTCAATATTAGCATTTTGAAGCTCTGGCTTAACGGCTCTGTTTTAATATGACCTAATCAGATATTTATGGAGTGTGTGTGCATATATGCATGCATGCTTGTGTTAGTGTGTGTGTGAGAGAGAGAGAGAGACAGAGAGAGAGAGAGAGAGAGAGAGAATAAATGGGGGAACAGAAAATACTTTTGAGTGTACTACATTTTACACCTGTTTCTTATAATATGTATCATTTTAATTGGATTGAGACATTCTGCTCTGAAAACTGAATGGCTCCTTCCAGATGAACTATAATTCAGCCCAGGCTCACTTTTAGAGGAAGGGGGGTAGAGTGCCAATTTTCATGAAGTTCCCATTTCTTGGAAAGGCAGACAGCAAATGCAGAAAGCAGACTGACCCTGGAAAAAGGTATCACTCATAGTGTAGGGCACAGGACCCTGAATTTGTGCAGACCTACTGTGATCTATGTTTCACTTTTCAATGTTGAACTAATATTGAACATGACTGCGTCAAAAGATTCCAGGGGGTCTGTACCAATATAGAAGTTTTTTTAATTAAGAGTATATACATTTAATTCCTCAGTATGAAAATACATTGAACACTGTTCTAACCATGCTTGATCACCAGGTTGCTCTCAGTTAAGAACATTTCTCCCTTCCAAGTACACTTAGCACTACAGCCTTGCCTGTAACAGGCAGATTTGCAAGTTGATGGAATTGAATGTTTAGTCAATGTCCTCAGAACTGAATGACAGTAAATAATTTCATTCTATGGGAAGGACATCAAAACAATCAAGTCTATATAAGCACACAACTGCTTCAAAATACCCACGATGGCACCTGCTGATCACTGGAAAGTGACAATGCCAAATCTGAACGGTATTTAAACATAAGTGTGGGCAAAGAACAGCACCACCACTATTCCACAAAGGAACAGATGCAGAATAAATCTGTGGTACGGAATCAAGATGTTGTTAAACATGGCTTTAAATGGGATGGCTCGTTCTCGTAGCCTTTGTCTGTTGTTAAACATGGCTTTAAATGGGATGGTTCTTGTAGCCTTTGTTTATTGTTGGCTCAGGTACTGTACAATCTAGCCATCAAATCCAATCACCATGGAGCGAGAAAGCTATGGTCCAAAAAGAACTGTAAAACCACAGGTCCCCTTCAAGTTCAGTTTGCTGAGTCTGAATGCAATTGAAAACCTGTAGTCTGTCACTAATTTGGAAGTGAAAGAAAAGCAACACATGTAAGGGGAGAGGTGAAGTCCGTGAGGAGCAGGGCTAACTGATGTAGTTAATGTCAAATCATGGTTTGGTATTATATGTGAAGCAACTGTTCCACTTTTCAACAATCATTTTGGTGTCTCCAATTCCACTTCCTTTCTCTATTCCTCTGGCAATCAAGATGAACACAAAACTAACTTCCAATAAACACTCCAATCAAACTGCATTAGAGAGAAGAACATGCAGATGACCTTTCACCTTTTTAAAAACACCCTTTCACATGTTAAAAAAAAATCTAATCTGAATAATTACAAATTGCAGCCATAATTGTAAAATTGAGAATTTTAGTAAATTTTAAAACATAAGGAAATAAAGCTCTTAAAATGTATTTATTTATTTATTTATTTATGTATTTTATATCCCACCCATCTGGTCGGATTAGGACCACTCTAGGCGGCTAACAACATAAAATAGTACAATAAATATATATAAAACAATTATGATTACCAGTATCCTTGCTGCAAAAGGAGATCATTAGTTGAGTTCAAGCCACTTTGGCTTCTGATTTAGAAGCACCTTCTAGATGGAAAGTTATTTCTCTAACATAGCTCCTCAATTTAACTCAACATCTAAAACATTCTTTCAAACCAAAAACTGCAGAGTAGCTTTGGGAGCTGCTCTTAGTGTAGAGTGGCAATGCAGATAAAGCAGTTGTTACAATTGTTGAATTTACTAGAGTCTGGTGACTGTTGAGAAGGAGGCCTTTCTTGAAACTGGCAAGTGAAATGCCTAGCGGATTCCTGTGTTAGCAGAATAGCTTCCTTCCTGTACTTTTCAAAAAAAAGCCCCATTTCATCTCCTTGCCCCAGGTCTTTGAACAACCAGGTTGGACTATGTGGTTATAGAGATTGTTCCTCTAGCAAATGCTTTCTCATGCGTCTTGCTCCCATGCACTCTTCCCACTTACTCCAGTCACTGGTTACCTGTTATTAGGGACTAGGGATGCTGCAATGCATTGTGATGGCTCCTCTCTATAACACAAACACTAGAATCACCTCCCATGCACCATAGGGCTCTCTTCTCATACTCCAAATCATTTCCTATCTTTTGGGGTCTCCCTTCCAAGTCCCAGTTGGCATCTCAATTGTCAGGTTAATCTGCTCAGATCTATTCACTTCCTTTTTGGCCTGGTTTGCTTTATTTGTCTTGTTAACATAATAAAGATAGAGGCCTTCACTGGTCTTTTAAACCAGAGGTCGTCAACCCCTGGTCCACGGCCCATTGCCGGTCCGTAGCTTGACCCTGACTGGGCCGCGAAGACAGACCTCGCACTCAGAACGGCGGGGGCGGGGGGTAGCCAAGAACCGGGAGTCAGGAAATGGTTGGGTGCTCTGGCTGCTCTCTTCCCAGCAGCGACAGCAGAGGGGGTGGGGGTGGGCAAGTGTCGGGAGGCAGCAAAGACAGACCTCCCCCCGCATGCACTCCCCTCCCCAGAGCTACTTTGCGGGCGCGCTTGCCAGCGTGAGTGCTCCCTCCCCCTTTCATGCAAGCGCCCTGCGCATGCAAAGCAGCTGTGGGGAGGGAAGTGAGTGCAGGGGCGGGCAGGAGGTCTGCCTTTGCAGCCCGGTGGCGGCAGCAGGGAGGTGGGGGTGGGCCAGAGCCAGGAGGCAAGAGCATGGCCAGGTGCTCTGGCTGCTCTCTTCCCAGCAGCGGCAGCGGAGGGGGTGGGGGTGGGCAAGAGCCCGGAGGCAGTGAAGACAGACCTCCCCCCACATGCACTCCCCTCCCCAGAGCTGCTTTGTGGGTGCACTTGCCAGCATGAGCGCTCCCTCCACCTTTCATGCAAGCGCCCCCCGCGCGCAAAGCAGCTATGGGGAGGGAAGTGCTTGCGGGGGGCAGGCGGGAGGGGGACTGCGTGAGCGCAAGGGGCCGCCCCACCTCCCTCAGAGGCTCTGCTGGTCCACACTACAGAAAACATTGAGGAACACTGTTTTAAACCCTTCTGTAGCCTGTGAGGGCATGTTTTGCTGAGACATCCCTTCATGCACAGAGTTCAAATACAGGGTGTACACTAAACCAAGTCTATGTGTCTAAGTGTATCAATTTCATCTCATATGCACTCAAAATATACTGCAGACTTTATACTACATTTGTGGTACTAAAACCCATAGGACAGAATCCTACAAGTATTCACATACGTTTTGTGTCACTTAGCTGGTAAAATGCAGCTAATTGACAAGGTGCTGTGGAGTGTCTCAGTTGAGTGTTTGGATCACACACCAAATTATGCAACTGAGATGCACCCTGCACATCCAAGTCCTGCAAATGTTATACCAATACCAACAGGATTCTCATTAGGGCCACAGTATTATTAAAAGTACTGTGGACAATTAGGATTGTATCAACATGTGAACAATGAAATGCAATTAATATAGGTTTTTACCTGCCAGAAATCTGTGACAGTTGAAGGCAGAGGACCCTGAGCAGCTATATATGCGGGGTTCCTTGGATCATGGTCCATCTGGAAAAAGGCATAAGCAGTTAAATCTAATGTTTAAGAGAAAGGTGAGAGTTTGCTACAGAACTGAGGATAAGACATTGTAAATGAAGTAGTTCAACTAGTACAGCAAAAAAGAACAAAAACAAGACCAAGAAGAAGAAGAACAATAATAATAAAGGGAAAAGACAAAAACACCCCCAAAGCCACCTATCTATCAAATACTACATACCTCCCAACTTAGAGGAATTAAAAGCAACAATTAAATGATGAACAGTGGACAGTACACATAGGGCCATCACATAATTACCTAATAATTAAATTAAAAAGGAGAAAAGCTCTCAAAGGCCTGGGTGGAAAGCTGAGTTTTAATTTGCTTCCTAAAGCCAAGGAGGGGGTGGGCTGAGGCCCGTCCACCAGAAAGGAGTTTCATTGCAAGACGGCCACTGTTGAAAAGGCCCTGTTCCTCCTAGTTGACCTTTTCTGGGTCTCCTTGGGTCTACCCCCCCCCACCGTGTCAAGGATTGGGAAGTATGGGTGGGATGGAAAGGTGAATCTTTCTTCACCTCTTGAAGAGAGCAATCATGTTTTGTTTCTTTTCATTATTAAAAGAATTCCTTTCCCCAGCAAAATAGAACTAGCAGTCTAATACATCCTAAATAAGTCTGGAGATAAATGACTTGTGTTCTAAATTTTTAACATGAGAGCATTTAAATGACATTTCTTGGCCACATGCATTTATTTGCTCAGGGGGTTCTGCTTCACAGCAACCTAGAATCCACTTCAAAACAATATGTCAGGGCAGGGTATTAGGAATGCTGGTCACATTTAAGTATCTCTTCTGTTACTATCATGGCACTCAAGGGCACATGCATCTAAAAACAAGCCAAAACAGAAAAACAAACTAAATCCTGGCCTTTTCTGGTTAGTTCATTTGTTTAAAATGTAGGCTTCTAACCTTCAATAGAAGTAGTCCTGTTTAAAGACCTTAATTATTACATCCCTTTCAAAGACTGACTGAGCAGGAAAAAAGGAGATCCTCAGAAACAAAGCCATGAAGAATAAATAGGATTAGGTAGTGACAAAGACTGTTTTCAAACTGATGGGTGGGTTTCTGGTCTTAAATCTCTGTCCCCATTCTCTTAATACAGAAAAGATCCGCCAATGTGAATTTGGCCACAAGAACAAAAACCCATTTATTTTGTCCCTTAGACATAATATACCCAACACACTCAAGACCTACTGTCTATAAGCTGCTACGGGAACATAAATCTCAAATCATTTTAATAAGTGCTGAATCCTACTGGACAGCTAAATTCACCCCAACTAATACATATATATACATACATAAACATCACATCACAATGAAATGTAAGACCCTTATGAACTCTCAGATATGCCATTTCAAAGGGAAAATTATATCTTAGATGGGAGATCTGTGACTGGCTCGCCCAAAGAACAGAACAGTGAAATCTACTTGGGAGAGGCTGTCGGCTAATGAGCAAGCTTCTGATCTTAAATATCTGGCCCCAATATCTGAATACAGGCAAGAGTTGCTAATGGAAATGCAACCACAAGGACAAAAAACGGTTTATTTCATCCTTAAACACAATTCCAGTGGTGTTGCTGGTGGGAGGCCTTTAACATTTCCCCCTAAGCTATATCTGCCATGTTTGCCTCACAAGGGAAGAATATGGGGACTTGTATTTTTGTTTCACTGCAGAGCATACAATAGTATAGGAAGGAAAAGTTTATTAAGGAAATAGAATGAATTGGGGACACAATGCTGCTATGTATTCTGCAGCATTCTTCCAAAGTTATACATCTCGGTTAAAGTCTTATTTCAGGTTTTATCTTAGTTATAACTTTTGGAAACTATTTTAGGGCAGGTTTATTTGTGTTATTGAGTCAGAGATTAACCCACAAGATTTTGATTCTTAGGTCTTGTCAGTTTTGTGATCTCAAAGATCCACTTCAAATCTCTGGTGACTGTAGTCCAGTGGATTGTTCTTTTATCAGGATCAAAAACAGCTATTACAAATACATCAAGGGCTTGAGCGTGGCCAGTACAACCTCAAACTTTTTCGCTTTCAGCATCAGAGCACTGGCACATACTGCTTTTGAAACTTCTATGAAGTGGTTTGAAGCTTCCAGGATTTCAAAGCCAGGTTTCTATACAAGTCTGCGATGGAAGCGAAGATGTGGGGAGGAAAAACATTCTGAATCTATACTTTTCCATAGAATTTTTGCACACCACATGTACCTATGTTTATCCTTAGCTATCTGAATTGCTGGACTGCAATAAATCATCTCAAATGGCCTAAATATAGGATACAAACTTCTACAAACATATCAGTCAAAATCCAAAGAAACAAAACAAGCATATGGCACCTTAAAGAATAACTATTATATTTTAATGTAAGCTTTCGTGGATAAGTCCAGACATAGGGGGAGGAATGAAATACTGGATGAAACACCAATTTCACAATTAAAACATTCAAAATACTTATTGGCCCTAAGAGTCTTGGGTGTGTGGCTGCATCTCGCATGAAGTAATTTATGGCCTATGTTTGGTGTTAGGTTCTATTTTAAACATTTCTACAGGAGAAAGAAAACAGACATGAGCAAAAAGGAGGGGGAGAAAAGGGGTGTCGGGGTGAAGACTGGTGGGGATGGGATTCAGTTAAAAACTCAAGAGAGGGTGAGAAGGAATATATAAAAGTAGAAGAAAATAGCAGAGGAACCACGTGGGTTGATGTAGGGAATATTGGCAGTCTTTACCTTTTGAGCCTTGTGATGAGAGACAGGCCTGATAGTTTTGAAGAAAATAACAGTGGCAGTAGATAACAGCACAAGTATTACATTTGGTAATGAAAGACTGAAGAAACCTAAGCTTATATTCAGTCCATTTATATGGGTGTCCATCATGCATGTGAATTTTATCTCAGCTGTTTCCTTCTGTATTCTTGATTCGAAATTATTCTGTTCTAAAATAATGACTCTACGATGCTATGTTTTTGTCTGCTTTTGTTCTTTGGATTTTGTATGATATGCTTGCATAGACTAACATGGCTACCTCTCTTAAAGCTTCTACAAGTTATTCTTCTAAGGAGAAAAGCATCAACAATTCACACTAATGGGTTGATCTACACCTGTGCTGAGATCTCCGGAATATTCTAAAGCTCAAACACATGTTCGCCAGGACATTGTCAGAGAGGGGATTGAAAGGGAAAGATACCATGCTTGTAAGGAGCACAAGTGCTGTGTGACCAATGTGGTGGAGGCGATGAGGCCTAGAAGGTGTTGAGCCTGAACAGCGGTTACGAATGCATACGGCTGAAAATACTGGACAAGAGAGTGTATCTTCAGTGCTCTTTTTTGAGGGAGGAACATCCGTGTGACCCGAGAATGTAGAATGGCGGCTATATAGGTGACTTTCTGTGAGGGAGTTAGGACGGATTTGTCCGTATTGGCCCTGAGGCCCAGATCAGCTAAGAGAGAAAGAGTGAATTCGATGTTGTGCTGGGCTTGAGAGTGTGACGGACGGACTAACAGCCAATTGTCAATGTAAGAGAACAAGAAGATTCCTAGAGTGTGGATATGGGCTGCCACAGCAGCCATGCACTTTGCAAATACCCGTGGTGCGGTGGAGAGTCCGAATGGGAGGGATTTGAATTTGTAAGCTCATGGGGCCAAGGGAGAATCGTAGAAATTTGTGATAGTTCCGTCTGATTGAGATGTGGAAGTGTCACTCAAGTCGATGACAACGAACCAGTCTCCTCCTTGAAGAAGATGAAGAATATGTTCTAACGTCATCATACGAAAACGCCTCTGGAGGATAAACTAGTTCAGGTCCTGAAGGTCGAGGATGGGCTGGAGACATCTGTCTCTTTTGGGGACAAGGAAATAGCAGGAGAAGAACCCCCAGGTTGTTGTCCCATGGGATGACTACTGAAATAGCATCCTTCGAGAGGAGCGACTGAATCTCTTGTTCCAGGACGTTTGATGATGTGGTTAGGACTACCCTGGGTGGTGGGAGGGACAGAAACTCTATTGTGTAACTGAAGGATATTGTAGACAAGACCCATGAGTCGGTGGTGATGGATGCCCAAGATGGATAATGGGCTGCTAGGTGGGTGGTGGTGGGTAGTGGGATACAAAGAGAGCGGATCTGGGCAATAGGGGAGTCAAAGATTCTGCTTGATTTTCTTATCAGGTCGTCAGAAGAACTGTCGAGGACGCTGTCGCTGTATGCACTGTCAATTTTGGTATGAGGAAGATGACTGAGGTAGGTATCTTTGTTTTTCCAGAAAGGATTTGTATTGGTGGAAAAGATATGGGCAGCGCCATTGATACATTTGGGGCCTGTGGTATGGCTGAGTGTTGTGCGAACAACACAGATGAGAACAACACAGTCTTTCTCATCTTTTGTAGGTTATCTAGTATTTCCATTAAAGGTTATCTAGTATTTTGTCCGTCTTCTCATCTAATAGACTGACACCATCAAATAGACTAACTGATATTTTCAGTCTGTGGCCTGCTTCCAATGTGCTAGCCCCTCCTAGGGTGCCATATGGCCCCCATTAAGAATGGATGCCATAGATGACCATTAAAAAATGATTTCAAAAGACTCTCATTCTCCAACAGGGCCACATTTGCCGGTGGTGAACTTTTTCCAAACCCAGCTTTATTCCTCCCTTCCCCAGATATGCTGAGAAAGAGTAAAAATGGCAGTAGAACACTGACCTTAGGAAAGCCTAGCAGAAGTGGAAACACAGGGTGACCCAAGCCTAGATATAATCCATGAACATGACTTGAAAAGGATCAGAGTACTGTGTGTCGACAAAAGCACAGTCCAGTTAAATGATTCATCACATGGCAAAAAGTTAGACTGGCTTATTTCAGTCTGCTTGTGGCAATTTGCTCTGCTGCAGACAGTGGGGGATGACCCTGTACATTACTTATTTTTTTTTAGAAAAACACTTTTAATAAAAAATAGTTTAAAATCTTCAGGCTGGCTGAACAGAACAACCCCTTGCAATGGTACGATATAGGTGTTTCATTTTGTTCTGCCTGCCCATTATCAAAATGTCCCTAAATAAATTCTGAAATTTTGAATGTAGCAAACCAAATTAAAGATCAAACATGATGAGTTAAAGAAAGAAACGCCAAGCTGTGCATTTTCAACAAAAGAGAAAAGTTTAAAAGAGAAATGAAATAGACTAATCAATAATGAGGTAAGTAGTGTTGCCACATAAGAAATGCTTCCAAATACACTCAAATCGAGAAGGACACCATTCTCAATTCTACAGTATAAAATCAGCTTCTGTCAGAAGGCTGACAGGAAGGTTGCACAAATCATAATGAGGAAATGCTGGTCATCAAGTTAACACTAACTCAGAAGATTGCAATTACATTGTGCTGAACAGAAAGCAACGAATAACTATAGAGAAGAGACATGGTAAGTGATGATTGCTAGCATTTACAAAGAAATACCCAAGCCACACTCTTTGCAGGTATTACATAGTTTCAATGCATGTAAATCTTAAACTCTCCCATTGTTCACTACTGATGCTGAACTCATCAAAAAGGAGAAAGGCTGCTTAAGAAATCTGCATGGTGTACGTTCTTAGAATAAGAGTCATGTTACATGAAAACACACAGCTTGTCCTACAGTTTTAACTTACTTATAACACTGATGGCTCACAAATGGTTTAGTTCACTTGCGCAGATGCTGGGTTTTCAATTCACGCTGACTTAGTTGGGTATTCAGTGTGGTGCAGAGTGGACAGAGTGACAGACAGACTAGGACTCTGAAGATCTGGGTTCAAATTCCTGATTAGCCATGGAAACTCATGGGTTGTGAGAGTAGACTTGGTAAAACCATTCCTTAAATAGCTCATTTACCTACAAAGTCCTATAAGGGTCACTGTACAGCAGTTCCGACTTGACAAGACATAACAACAACATGCATTTATTTTCACTTAATGTGCACAGATACATAACATGATACTGTATTTACAACACAATCCTCCGGATTCAGAGGCAGTTCCATATAGACTGTAAAATAGATTATATATTGAGGCAGAGGGGGGGAAACTTGGAAACCCTCCAATGACAGTGGATCCTTCTGCTCTCCACTCCAGAACCAGATCAATGTACAATAAAGCAAAAGTGGGTAGAATGGAGAGGCAAAATTGACAGAATGGGGAAGGTCCTGAATATATGGTATCCATGGTTTTTCCAGCTTTCTGCCACACTCCCATCTGAAAACTGATTTAACTATTTCCCTTCCATTGCTAGGAAAATTGAAGGTACCATGGAACCCTACAATGTTGCAACAGGGTTGCTCTGTAAAAATGAACCCCTGTCAAATTAATTTTGTTTAAATCTACTGGCAACCTCAGATACCTCTGTGTTTCACTGGTTGCTCAGTGAGTTACATATTGGGAGTTCAGTTCTTCACTGTACATCCCAGAAGACCCAGCCTGTGCAGCACTGGATAAACTGCAGAGTCCCAGGATGACCACAGAAGAAGGGAATGGTAAAATACTTATGAGTACTCTGAGAACATCCTGAAAATGGTCACAATAAGTTAGAATTAATTTGACTGCATATTATTATTATTATTATCTTTCTGAAAACTCTTGGAACATGAGGAGGGGGAAAGAAAAGTACCAACACATCCCTACCGGATATAATACTGTCATCACTCCAACCCTTGTATTTAAAGCACAAATGAATCACAAAAGGGAATAATAATTGGTCCTTGTTTTTATTCATGCATTTTAAACAAAACATTTTTAATCCTTCTTTTTAAAAATCATATTGGAGTTAAATAAATCTGGTTTTCAATGTCATTGCAAGTCTATTCTTGGTGATAAAATTTGTATGCTGTGTTTGAGCAAACTGTCATGTTAATCACATTCCTCAGTCTGGTGGCTTTAATAATAAGCAAGCTGAAGGGTAGGTAGATTTTTTTTTCAATGTAGTTGATGGGTCCTCCCCCCACCCCCAACACCCTTAGAGGAAAAACAGAATTGCCATTTACTTTCATGACCTCTGATTTAAAAGCAAAGATTGCACATTATTTACTACTGGATGAGTCTCCTGAAATTTAATGAGGACTAAGTACAAATATGACAGATGTAATTATCACAGTTTTATTCTGCACAGTCAGGGTCTCCTTGTGCCGTAATTGCAAGCTTTTCATTCAACCGCTGGCAGCGGAGTTATTATAATAGTATTTTATGTTATTTCACAGAATTGGAAAGAAGACTTCCAGTTTAATTTTATTCCAAGGAATTGCTCAACATCCCTTCTTCCCAGTTCTACCTTTGTATATGCAATTTTTAAAGTCAGCAAGATATTTGACTGGATCTCTTTGCACACTTCATTCAATGCTGTTTTGAATGCATAAAGCTTAACGCCCCCTCTTCCAGATTTTTATAATATAATGAGAAGGGGGAGCGGCTAAGAAAGAAAGGACTATGTGGGCAGGTGGCCAACTCATTGTTCTAGTGCAAAAAATGCCCCCCACCCCCACATGTATTGCTTTACTCATTTAGACTCAAACCAAGGTTGAGTGAGCCCCAGCTGGAAGCTGGACCACTGACCCTGAAGCTGGAAATACACAGCTATAAGGACGCCCCTGGAAGCCTCCCTTTCCGAGGCCTGAATGTAATTGCTTTATGTTACACTCTGGCTTTATCAGGCATCCTTCACACTGGCTGGGTGGAAATAAACTTTCTAGTGTAATTCAACATTTATAACTTTACCATTATTAATTCGCCAAAAGGAATATTCAGCAATTCATTTCCAATCTGGACACAGGCACCAAAGCATCAAAGATAAAGTTGGCACAGTAATTGCCTCAAAACTGTTAAAATTGAAGGGCAACATCATTTTTAAAAGGTGTTGATGGTATGACTTCTGAAGGTGCAAATAAGATCAAAGTACTGGTACTTTAAATCTCTGAGGAGTCACACATTAGCCATGCTTCATTGGGTATTTTCCTTCCACCCCTCCATTCTTGGTCTTACGATTTCTCACACACAATACACAGAGGGGAAAGGGTTTTATCCCATCCACATGCACTATTTCAAATACCTTTACTACATAACAAGACAGAACAAAGTCACAGAGTGGCAGAATATTCTATTTCAAAAGTCATTGATAAAACCAAGCCCAAGAAGTTAAGAGGAACAAAGTTTCCTTTGCAAGCTGAGAGGCTTACAAAATAGCATTGTATTCTGTGGCATGGATACAATTAAAATGTTTTTTTTAATGGAGCCAGCATATAGTAGGAAATCATATTGGGGATAACCATAGATTTATTCTTTCCTGTAACAGCATACTGTAGTTCTGATGATAAACTGAACTAGACTTTACAATATTCTAATGTTACTTATGGAACCCATAATTTGGCCCAAAGCATATTTCGCTAAAGGAAACTGCCATTAAAGAACAGAAGACAGCTTCTCTAAAGAAATCCTGCTCCTAGTGGAATCCCTAGAACTTTCCATCTGTTTCTTCCAGGTGTATAAATCAAAGCAGCTGCATTTGGAGGGAAGGAGTGCACATAGGCGGGCTTTGTGCATGTGTGCGCGCACACACATCCATGCACATGCGCGCGCACACAAGGACTGTGGCTGTGCCACTTTGTTTACTAGGAAGAAATGGATGGAAAGTAGTGCTTGGGCTTACACTATTAACAGGATTTGAGCCAGAGAATTCAAACTAATTCAATCCTATACATAAACAACTATTTTAGTTTAACGTGCTTGTTGCTAAAATGGAGATAATATTTTTTGTTGTTTGTAACCAGTGAAGATCAACTAGTCCATTTTCTTTGTCTGCTTTAGGCCATCGACGTGGCATACGATATGAACTTTAAGTGAACAGTAAGAAGGGGTAACAGCTGATCCTATAGGAGTTCATATCCTACCAAGTTCTGATGATCTGATTTATCAGGGCCTTCCCATTTTCTCATATAATATGTTGTTCCTCAGATTAAGGTATCCAGATAAATGCTTTTATCGGAGAAATACAGGCTATCCCAACAAACACCAATTCTTTTACCAGTGCCAAAAGGCAATTCCTCTGATTGCTATGGGAACAAACCCATTATGGCAAATTATTTCAGAAACCTACTGCAAGGAGCTGGATAGTATGGGATACCACTTACCATTTATCTAAACTCTTGCAGCATGGCATTAGCCAAATCATTAATCCAACCCTTAATATTTTTTTAAAAAAATCCATGTGCTTTATGTACCCTTACCAAAAGCTTTGTAACTGAATGGCAAACTGCTAGTAAAATATTTTAAAGGAACATGATCAGCAGTTAAGTTTCTAGAAATGGACAATCTTAAGGCTTTGTAGAAATGAAACTAGCTTTAATTTTTAGGAAAGAAGAAGACATTTGATCAGCATTACTCACATAAAACAGGTGCAAGAACAACACAAACATTTTCTCCAGTCTATAGAATATAATATGTACAATTCTGAAAAATATACAAATTCAAGAAACTGCTCCCCCAATTTGCAAGAAAATAAAACTTTTACTTGCATCAGAATTAGCTGCATTGAAATTAGTTTTTAAATTTGGAAAACATAATTTATTGTTGATATTGTACTTACTATTGGACTGGCATTAATGTAGTCTGAACTGTTGTGACTGTTTTCCGTTTTCAAACATATTCTGCAATGATCATCTGCCACAAAGAAATGCATTTATTATTATGCATGTTATACTTTTAAAAGACTACATTTGACCACTAACACCTTGACAGGCACACTGGCTTTTAAATGTACAACTCTCTTAAAAATGCTAATGTAAATAGTGAAGTCCTTTAAAAGGTTCTTGCTTTGGACTTGTTACACTGAGGAACCAATTTCTATTGTAGAATAATACTGGCTTTGGGTGGTTAGGTTTTACAAAATGAAATAATAGTTAGAATTTTGGGGGTGGGTGGCTGGGTTTAGAACTGGATGGGAGGGACAAGAATATGCATACACCAGTACTGCTCTTTGGATGACATGAACTGCACACATGGTGTGACTGAATAAAGACTTTCTATTCTGTAATAGAAACTTCCACTAAGATAGACCTGTGGTCTAAAAGTTCTCTGCAAAATAATGGGAAACAATTCTAAAACGCTACATATCAAAACAGCACTCCCTAGGAAGTACTGTACCTTTCCCTGTTTAAGCAAAACAATACTTAGAAGACTGCTGTTGAGAGTTAAAGTTTAGAATGAAAGGACTTATAGCAGCCAGTATCTACCTCATGTCTCATGGTGATGCACTACATCATCAGTAGCCTGTCTGGTACACAATGTTTCTTACTACTATAATGCAATTATCAGGTGCATGGAGGAGATGTGCTGCTTTCTGTCTTACAGAAAAAGTACTGACTTTTCCAGGAATACATATATCTTAGCCACTCTTGGCTGTGCTTTTCATCTCAAGCCCAACAGAGAACAGCTGCTTTAGAAGCGTGCCCATTAAAACCATTCACTGTATCTGAAAACCAGATGAACAGCTTAAGCAGTTCTAATTACAAGGTGACACAGTTTTATGCACTTTCTAAAGCAATGCCAGAATCTGAACCAACACAGCTTCCTGTCGGTGACTAATTTTTCTATGTACATATAAAAACTGTGCATGGCCTTTACACAAAACTATACAAAAGGGCACTAGCTGTTGTCAGGTCTATTTATTTAATTTTTTATTTCTCTCATTTATAGGACACCTTTCTCCCAAGTCAGCTCACAGTGTTAAAAAAAAATTAAAAACACAATATATTATACATTAAAAACAATTAAACTATAATAGTAATTTAAATATATTCAATGATTAAAAACATTTAAAACTTTAAGAACAAACTTAGCGTGTTTCCCCCAAAACAATACAGGGTCTTGTATTAATTTTTGCTCTAAAAAAACACATTATGGCTTATTTTCAGGGGATGTTTTATTTTACAATCCTGTCATCTTCTTCTGGTTGCTGCACAAGGGTGGAGGGCAGGGTTTCACTTAACTGGGGCTTATTTTTTGAGTAGGATTTACATTATGAACATCCTGAAAAATCATACTAGGGCTTATTTTCAGGTTAGGTCTTATTTTCAGGGAAACAGGATAGCTAAAAACCAGCATTCAGGGACTCAGTTATGCTTATTAAAAGCCTGTCTGAAGAGGTGGGTCTTCAACTGTTGGTGGAAAGATAAAAGGAAAGGGGCCAACCTAACCTCTTGAGGGAAATCATTTGACAACCTGGGAGCAGCCACAGAGAAGGCCCGCTCTTGTGTTTCCCTTTCAAATGCACCTCCAATGGCAATGGGACTAAGAGAAGGGTGCCCTCTGAAGATATAAAAAGTTGGGAAAGCTCATATGGAGGGAATATGGTCCTTCAGACATCCTGGACCCAAACTATTTAGGCAATAACCAGCACTTTGAAATGGGTCCAGAAACAGACCGGCAACCAGTGCAGTTGTTGTAGTGCGGTACTATATGCACCCTATTACTGGCCCTGGTCATCGGTCTAGAAACTGCATTCAGATACAGCTGAAGTTTCCATACTATCTTCAAATACAGCCCCAGGTAGAATGTGTTACTGTAATCTAAGTGGAGTATAACTAATGGATGTGTCACTGTAGCCAAATCAGATGTCTCAAGAAATGGACAAAGCTGGGGCACATGTTTTAACTCTTGGCCATCATTGAAATCTGGGCATCCAGACCCAGGGATGAATCCAGGAGTACTCCAAAGCTACAGACCTAGGTTTTCAGAGTAATTTAACGCCATCCAGCACATGTTGCATCCATATTGCCTCATCTTCCTTCCAACTGACCAGGAGCACCTCCATCTTGACTGGATTAAGTTTCAGTCTTTTTGTCTTTATCCAGCCCATAACTGACATTAGGCACTCATTTAAAACTGAAACAGCCTTCTTGGGATTTGATAGGAGAGAGAAGTTCGTATTATCACCATATTGGTAAAAATGAACCCCCAAATTCTGGGCAACCTCTTCCAGAATTTTCATGTATATGTTAAATAGCAAGGGGGACAAAACAGAACTGAGAGGGACACCACAGGTCAATGGCCAGGGTTAGAACAGAAATCCTCCAGCCCCACCACTGGGAAGGATTGTAGTCACTGTAAAAAAATGCCTCCAAGTCCCATCCCCGTAGGATACCATGATCAATGGTATCAGAAGTCACTTAGAGGTCCAGAACCAATAGGGACTCACTCCCCTTATCCAGTTCCCAGCATCGGTCATCCGCCAAGGCCACCAAAGCTGTCTCTATCCCATATCCAGGTCTGAACCCAGACTGAAATAGGTGTACACAATCCATCTAGGAGTCCTTGGAGCTGAGAAACTGCCAGCACCTTGCCCAGAAATGGAATATTTGAGATTGGCCAACCGTTGTTCAGTTGAGTGGGGTTCAAGGAGAGCTTTCTCATTACTGCCTCCTCTGGGATCCTTCCCTGCAAGGAGGCATCCATCACTCTCTCCTTACCCACTTAACCAGTCCCCCTCTGGCTGTTTTTATAAGCCAGGCAAGGCAAGGGCCTAGCACACATAGGGTGGCTTTCACCTCTCCAAGAATCTGGTCCACACCATCAGGTTGGGAAAAATTATGAACTTCCACATAAAGGTAATTTTGCCCTTTACTTGGCAAGGGAGCATGCCTTCTAAGAGGTCTGGAGCACAGGGAAGTTACAAGACAACAAAATAAAATAAAAACAATTCTTAACACTAAGGTGGGGTTTCTGTTTTTTTTTAAGAGAGTGATGCATACATAATCTGTCTGTTTTCTATAGATAGCGAAGCACTTTGGAACCATAGGTAAAGAGAAAGGAAGAAGTAAGCTATTTGGTTCAAAGTATACGTACATGCTACCACAACTTGTGACCGATTCTTCTGGACATTTTCTTCTTTATATGCAATGGTACATGCATTGGGCTCAGCCTGATAAGCACAAAGGGCTTCCCATTCTTTCTCCAGACGATTCTTGTTCTTTAAGTGGTCTTCCATATATGACTGAAATGTGAAGATTTCATGGTTAGACATACAGTAGTAGCCTTCATATACCCAACACTGTCTTAGCCCATTTAACAAGTGGTTCAAGTGAAGAGAACTAGAAGCCTTCTGCTTGGCTCCAGACAACTTTTTGACTCCGTGCCCCACAACTCAATCTTCTCAGAAAGGAGTGTATATAACAAGTACACATGATCCCAAGAAGAGTTAAAAAAAAATACAGCTTATGATATTGTAGGAATTGGAGTAGCCAGAAAAGAGAAGCATCACAATAATTCCTCATCAATTGTGACCACTCTAGGCGGCTATATAACAAATACACATGATCCCAAGAAGAGTTTTAAAAATTACAGCTTATGATATTGTAGGAATTGGAGTAGCCAGAAAAGAGAAGCATCACAATAATTCCTCAACTCTTGGGCATATCTGAAGCTGTTGGGAGTTTTATTTATGATCTCACATGCTGTCTGTAGTGTGAGTGACGGGGAGGGACTTTTCTAGGATGGAGTAATTGCCTTCCAGCTTTTGAAGTTCAAAGAGAGACCTGCCTCTCTGCTGAGTGTTCTATCTCTCTTTCCTCAGTTGGTGACAGGTGTTTGTTGCAGTTGATCCGTTTGGTTGGTTGCTAGCATGTGTGTAACAAAGAAAGCAATATACACAGGTCTGTAATTTCTGTAGATAAAGAAACGTTTTTATTCTTTGTCCTACAAATATTTCAGAGTGAGCTACTAAGACTCTAAGTGCCAGTCAATGGGAAAGGGGTGGACTCTAGGGGTCTTGAAACTATTCTCCTCTATGGATCTTTGTATTTCTACTGCATGGCAAAACAGAATTTTACCAGAGTTTTATTCAAAACTCTGCAACAAAAGTAGCTTTGTGACTTTCCAATCAAGTTTGAAATTGGTACTGTTGCAATCTACTCTTCAGCTGTATGGTTAGAGATGATTTGTTCACTTTGGGCAAGATGCGTAAGTCCTGTTTCAGACATTATAATGGAAGCAAGGAATACAGAAGGAACATCTATTTCTGTTATCGCAACTTCTGTGCTGTTCAGAGTTATATGTTAAGCAAAGTTGAAGTATCGGGCATAATAGAAGGAAACAAAATAATCAAAAGACACTATTTTGGTAAGGGAAGGGACAATCTTAGCATCCAGTGTGAATAGCAATGTAATGAAGCCTTCTAATAGTTTGATAAGAACATCAGAAACATTTATTCTGGTTACAAGATTATCTTGAACCAAGTCAATTTCCACAATTCCCTTCCTGAACTAGAATCAGTGCAACCCTGGAAATCAAGTTCCTCTACCATTATTACTATTACGCCTTACCAAATTATCAGGTAACTATTGCTAAGCTTACTTGCTGTCCATGTATGATTCATTAAGGCCCATTTTATGAAGGAGGAGAAGGAGGAGAAGGAAGATGGCAATCCCGCCCCCCAAGAACAGCAAGAACAAGAAGCAGAATAGGCGGTTCAGAGAATTCAAAGTGGGTGGGTGGGGATATTGTATACTCAAGGTACACACAGAGGATAACTGTTAGATGTCTTATTTTAAACTCAGTCTGGCAAAACATAGGTTTAAAGTGTTAAAGAAATGGGGATTTGTTTTTGAGCTGATAACATAACTTGGCAAGCACTACTGAGAGGCCTGGCATCTTCCCACAGCAAGCAGCCATAAAGGATACAACAAATTTATTATTTTTCCACAGTAAATATAGTCAGGACATATTAATTTATTTCTAAAGTATGCCTTTAAGTCAGTCTCTGACCACAAAACCCTAAACCAGGCTCCATAATTTCTGGTACTCTGGGAACAAGAAAAGAAGCATCTAAATAGAAGACCATGCCATCCATGTAACTATTACGGCTTCATACCTCCCCCTCCCCAAGCTATTTTTGTGCCTCTCAGCTATCCACTGGCCCTTTAAAAAAAAAAAAAGATAGATAAGGGCAAACTGCAGCTCTAGGAAGGATGATTTTCTTTTTGGAAAAGTCACAGCCCCACTCCAATTTAATGCGCCAAAACATCTATTTTTCAAAAGTGGAAGTGGATTTCTAGCCTCTCCTGCTTTACACATTTACTTCTATTTTTTAAAAAAAATTGGCGGTCTGTGCAGCACCTGAAGCATCCTGAAGGCAGAAAACTGACCACTGGATTTATCAGAGTTGCTTACCCTGATTAAGAACCAAATTTCATACCCTGATTAAGAACCAAAAATAGTGTTTTGATGTTCAGAAAATTTTAATAGATATAATCCATCCCACTACAACATCGAAAAGGGTCAGCCAGAGCTAGAGAACACACAGAAAGCTTTTCTAAAGTAACATATGATAGAGACTCATCTGTTAAATATGATACACTGCAAATAAAACTACTTCTACATCTCGTTATATATAATAAGTTCACAAAACAAATTGTAACATATGTCTAATTCCTGTGATAACCATAGAAAAATAAATAATAGGCTAAAGTTTGGATCTGATGACCAGTTACTGGTAACTGAGAACATCTAGGTGGTCAGTAAAGAATTAGTCTGACAGTATTATGATACAGATATGGAAAATCTCATCCTTCTGTTGAGACTATGGGCTTTGTAAAACACCTGTACTCAAAATATGCATTCACTGCAAGCCAATACAGTATTCCTAGGATTACCATCAAAGTTCCCTATGTTGTTCTTTTTCCACCACAAAAAGGGATACTGATTAAGACAATACTTTTTGTTTCCACCAGCTTAGTAAAACTGCAATCTTATTCTTATAACTACGACATGAGAAAAGAAAGCTAATATTCCTTGCAAATTAGTGCAAACATTTTTGAGTAGGAAAATGCTGTCTGATATATAATCTAATTTTATGTAAAACATTCAGGGACATTTGTGAGCTGGTTTGTGGAAATCGTACCTGCCAAGAGCAGGCATGATAAAAAAAAAAAAAAACAGAGACATTTGCAGAAGGAGAGAAAGTATAATAGAAAGGCACACTTAATGCCATTGAGATAGTTTGGATTATAGGATTTGTGTCAATGGAGGCAGCAGAAATGTTGCTACTTCAGGACAATGGTGACAGGTATGCCTTTGGTGTCTCTAAGGTACAACGGTACAGTATTATTTTGATGTGAAAGGATTATCCTATTAGAATAAAAGGCATTTGGCACACACCTAAAAAAAAGAAACACTTAATAAGAGAGATTTCCAGAGATTACAGAACAACCCTCTCTGAAAACAAAAAGTTACACAGTATCTTCAAAGCCTAAGTTGCACCTGTTTTTTCTTGGCCCAGTAAACCACCTGCACCTGTACAGAATCCAACAGTTTTATAAATTCATGCTTGTGGGAAAATCTGAATCTTCCTTTGAGATTCTACATTGGCTTATAGATTTGTGATGATTGTTTGGCAGGTTTAATACCTAATCAAGTCTCTTGCTTTAAAAAACTGAAATTAAGACAAGCATGCTGTCACAACTAAAAATCCAACTTGGTGAAAATTCTTCCTTGTGTGCAAGCACTACAGAGGTACAGTACTATTCTTTCTAAATGAACATGACCACTCTGAAGATAGTTCTCAAATGCAAGACAGCTGCTGAGGGACACAGCAAAGTACCTTCCTAGACTACTATTTGCAATTTTCCATTAGCCATCATGACTCCCAATTTGTTTAGACTATACAGATAAACAATGAATCAATAGCCCAGTACTGCTGACAGTTGGCTTTCCCCCATTTCAGACAGGAGTCTTATTCAGATTTTCTTGGAGATGCTAGGGAAGAAACCTCTGTGAGAACAGGGTTTATGTGTAGTTTCAGTTCCTAGCAAGGTGAGTACAGATGCTTGCTCAGCATGAAGTTGAGTTGGCTTGTTTACGTTACTTGACGGCTTCTGTTTCTACACACACTGTAGATTTTTCCAGCTCCATATTCTCATATACAGTAAAATTATGCAGTCCTTAAGCAAGCAATGTTTTCATGCAGTTGGCTTGTTATCTATATTTGAGTACAATAATTTCTTTAAAAACTGGCATGTGAGGACTACCTGTAACGTTGGGAATGACTTCTACCAACTACAGGCTATGATGATACTGAACTGGGAAATCTCTGGCCTTCTCAATGTTGGTATACTCCTCCTCTCATCATCCTTACCATTGTATGGACCGAATGAAGCTAATGAGAATTGGAGTGTCATTGCATCTGCAAGGCCACAGCATTATCCAGATATAGCAATTCCCACAGTTCAGATATTTTTGCAGTTTCAAGTACATGCAGCACAGAGAGTTGCTTCACCAACTTTTTTGTGGTTATCAACAATAATGAGAAACGTTGTAGCACAGAAGCACCTTAGAATTACTTAAGGTATCTGTCATCAGAATTTTGCTTCCCAGCTATTTAGGAGACGACTATTTTCCATAACTTTTTAAATGCACTGGCTTAAAGTTTACTCTTGGTATTGTCTGGTATTATTCAACATTGCCTTAAGAGGCACCTCTTTGCCCCTGTGGAGGGGGAATCACTGAACTCTGGCAATGCCAACAGAAATATGTAAAAAATACCAAGTTGGTCAGAGAACTCTCAGTCAGCAGTGCGTCCATAGGTAGTGAGCTTTGGGTATGGTCATTTATGTATTTATTTAATTTATATGCCGCCCACATCCATTTCAAGTGTGACTGTCATAACAGTTACACTTGAAATGAATGTTTCACAATGATTTAGGCCAGCCAATCGAAAACAGATACAATTCTACCCATCATAACACAGGTGGAGAAGATGCTCTGTTTCCTTACACAAATCTTGAGAGTCATTGTCCATTGTTTCAGCAAACTTGGGTTCCATTCTCTCAGAGACTAAAGTCAAAACCACTTTGCCACAGTGCCTCCAGTTTTCTTACAGAACCTCTCGTCAGCCCTTGTCACAGGATGTGGTGATGGCATCTGGCCTAGATGCCTTTAAAAGGGGACTGGACAGATTTTTGGAGGAAAAGTCCATCGCAGGTTACAAGCCATGATGGG